CCCTCCCTTTCCCCTTCATCGCTCTACACCCCCCTCCCACTTTCCATCCCATCCTTCCCCCCCCACCTCTTCTTCTCCTTCCCACCACTTCCCCCCTTCCCCCTCCATCCCCTTCCCTCACTCATCCTCTCTCTCCTCCCTCCCCCTTTCCTGCTTTTATCCTGCCTCTCCCTCTGTCCCTTTCCTTCTGTCCCCCTCTCCACCTCCTTCGCTTTCCTCCTTTTCCTCCTCATCCCCCCTATCCCCCCCTTCCCCTCCTTTTCTTCTTCATCCCCCCCATCCTCCCCCCTACCCTTTCCTCCATTCCCATCCTCTATCCCCTCCTCCTCTCATCTCTCTCTCTCCTTCCCTTCTCCCTCCTCTCCCCGCATCTTCCCTTCCCCCCCCCTCCTTGTCCTCCTCATCCCCTCATCTCTCTGTCTCTCACTCCGCCTCTCCTCTCTCTCTTTCTCTCTCTCTCTTCTCTCATCCATCTCTCTCTTCAATGCTACTCCCCTCATTCTCTTGCCTCCTCTTCCCTTCCTTACCGCTTCCCCCCTTCCCCTCGCCCCTCCCTCTTCCCTTCCTCCCACCCTCCCTTCCCTCCCCATCCTGTACTCCCCGACCTAGTCCTTCCACTCCTCTATCAACCTCCACAATAACGAATAAAAAATACTTGGCTAAAAGTCTCGCGGCTCCCACCAAAAGAAGTAATTCTTTGGGGCACATTCCCGTGTGTGTGTGTGTGTAAAAGCCAAGAGGGTCTCGTCTTCTCCCGGTCCCAGTAAACATTACTCCTATCACACTTATTCCACCCTTCACTACGCGCCCCTCGGCGGTTGTGTATCGAAGGATTCGTAACTCTATTAATAGGTCCGTCACCGCCTCATCTCAAATTTCTTATATTACCCTCACACCTCCACCATCACCCCTCCCCTCCGGGGCGTCGTCCTTGTGTATACCCATTGGGCGCTTGTTCATTAACAACAAACAGGATCGAGCCATATACCTATATCAAAATCAACCTACGAGTCACCCTCTTACAGGTACCAAACACTGTCGCGACTGGCTGTGTTAATCGATTACTTTCTTCTCATGTTGGGGTTTGTTTGTTTTATGTAAAAAAGTTCGAAATTACATCACTTATTATGAGTCAAACATTTTAACGCTCGTGCCTGTTGTATATCGATTTTTTTGAGCTGTTAATTAAAAGTGTCCGAAACATTAACTTATCGCATAACATAGCTCTGGCGGTTGTGTAATACATTGGGTTGTATTAAAAAGGTCGAGCCATTTACTTATATATACATCACTGGCGTATGTATACATGGGGTTGGTATTTAAAAAGGTAAGAAAACATTAATCACTTATACAACATATACACGCGCTATTGTAACATAGGGTTGTATTAAAAGGTCAAAATATTACTTGTGCATACATACACGTGCTGTTGTATTAAAAGGTATTAGAGTGGTTTTGTTATGCTTATGCTCTTTTTCTTTTCGCTTTCCTTCTCATCTCTATCCATCTCTCTATCTATCTTCTTTTTCTTTGTCTTTTTATTTTTTCTTTTTCTTTTCACCCTACACTATTCTGTCGCTTTCTTATTTTGGGTATCTCTATCTCTTTCTCGTCGCTTCCGGGCTCTTGTCGAGATCATTCACAGTCAAGAGACAACACGAGAAGGAGAGAGGAGAGTAGGGGGACGAGAGTAGGGAGGATAGGAGAGGGTAAAGGAGAGGAGGAGGAAGGAGGAAGAGGGAGAAGGAGAGGAGGAGGGCAGAGGAGGGAAGGGTGAAGGAGGGAGGGGAAGGGAAGGGGGAAGAAGGAGAGAAGGGAGGAGCGGGAATAGAGCAATAGAGAGGGAGGGTAGAGAGGAGGGGAGAGGAAGGATGGGGAGAGGAAGGGAGGGGTAGAAGGATGGGGGGGGAGGGTAGAGGGAGGGGGGAAGGAGGGGGAGTGAGAAGGGAGGAAGGGGAGAAGCGGGAGAGGGGAGAGGGAGTAAGGAGGAGGGATGAAGGGGAAAGGAAGG